CCCGCCCCAAAACACAACCCGATCGACCGACCGACCGACCAAACCCACCCTACCTTCTACCCTACCCTATCATACCCTACCCTACCCCACCCTACCCAACCGAACACAAAACCAAACACAACCCGACCCCAAAACACAACCCGACCAACCGACGGACCGACCGACCGACCGACCCAACCCAAAGCACAACCCATCGCCAACCCGACCGACCGTCCGACCGACCGACGGACTAAACCCACCCTTTACATCCAACTCACTCCAACCCGCCCCAAAACACAACCCGACNCTCCCCCACCCCACCCCACCCTACCCCAATCCCACCGATCGGCGACTGACCGACTGACCGACCGACCGATCGACCGACCTACCCAACCCACCCTATATCCCCAAACACACCCAACCCGACCCCAAAACACACCCCGATCAACCTGCCGACCAAAACCCACCCGACCCAACCCAACCTTCCCCAACCTAAAACCCAACCCAACTCGACCGACCGACCGACCGACCGACGGCAGCGACGGGACGAAGAATGTTTGCAAAGAATGCCAAACGGATGGATGGGTCGTTCTTCCCGATGAAAGCTTCTTGTTCCGTTTTCACGGCGAGAAAGCCGCATCCATCCATCCTCGACTCTTCTTCTTGTGAAGTTGAAGCTAAAAAGTAGCCTCACCCGGTCTGTCTGCTGTTAGTTCTTGTTTCTGCTGTAGACTATGACTTCGATCTACCTATCAATGATGCACGAGACGCGTGTTGTATGCAGGGAGGGGGCGAAATCTATCAATTAGATTAGCCAGCTAGTTTTTCTAGACACAGAAGAACGGATCATCTATCTACTACATCATCAGTACAACGACATCGGTCATGTCTCCTTTCTTCCCGAATTACTTTCTTTCAACACGGTGAACAGCGCATGATAATAATGCGGTGTTCATCCATCCTCAACTTTTTCCCTGTTTCTTCGTAGCCAGAAGCGGCCTAGCCGGGGCTGCTGCTGTTGTTTTTGTTACTGCTGTACGATATCTCTCCATCTATCTGCATGTAGGTATGTCTATCCTGGTTGTTTGTTGGAGGCACGTGCTGTGTACGGTAGTGCATCGAGAGAAGAGATCTTTCTTCCTGCATCGATTGCCTGCACATGAATGACTCCCGTCTATCTGTTCATATGTGTAGGAGGCATATCATGTGCTGTGTACAGCAGTAGGTGCATACACCGAGAGACCGGGCACATGAAAACCTTTTCGGCGAATCTTTTTCAGTTTTCAAAACACGAGCTCTTCTTGGGTAGCCAAGGCGGCCTCGAGGGTCTGCTGTTGCTTATGTTTCGACTATATACTATGTAATACTGCTGTAGTCTACGCTGTGTGAATAATCTCCAGACTACTCCTTCGTACTTTTTATGATTGGCAGGAAAACATACACGCGAGAATCCGTCGGCAAGCCACACCTACCTACTAATTACCTCTCTCCTGACACGCAGCGACCCGTCTATTTTGAGACGAAGGGACTACGTACAGCAGCAGCCATAGTATACTGCTGCTGTGCTGCTCTGCTGGTGGTGCTGGTGCTGGTGCTGTGCTGTGCTGCTGGATGATATTCTGCTTATAATGTAGCAACCACTTCAGCACAGTAATAGTAGCAGCGTGAACTACAACCTACAGAGTTTTATACTCGTACACGGCACATCATAATTCAGAACAGGCAGGCAGAGGTAGGTACAGGGCACGCTGCTTTTCGTATGACACATGTGCATACATATCACCTTTCCTTTGTCAACAGCAGTCAACTGCTTGCTGTGCATACGTATGCAAACGAATTGTGGATGGACTTCATTTGTTTGTTTTTGTGCCCCCGTGCTGTTATGTACAGTACTTTTCTGCGAACATCCCGCGGACTGCTACTGCTGCTGTGTCACTCACTCGCCACAGCCGAGGCAGCTCTGGGCGCGAGACACGGCGTGCCGCACCTTGCGTGCCTCGGCTTCCCTCCGCGCGAACGGAGAGCGCTGGATTGGTAGCCGTGAGGTTGTTCTAAGACAGAGACCTCAACGTCACGGCATAGCAGCAGCGCTCTCCAAAAAACGATTTCACCCGGGTGTTCTTGATGTGCCGGCCGCCTCACCTGCTTCTCGCTGCTGGGTGCTGTGCGTGCATGCCCCACACACCCCTGCCGGTGTTTGAGTCGATTTGGAGCCTTGTAGGGCTACATGCAGCTGGTGGGGTATTTAAGCCTTTGTACGGGGCAGGTTGGGGCAGCAGGTATTTTTTGCCCATCAGCCATGGCTGCACCAAACCTACCTACCCGTTTCGGCTCTACGATGGGTTTCGCGATCGCTCCACAACACAGCAACACGGTCATGCATGTCCTGCGTCGATTGTGCCTTGTGGGACGAGATGTAGGCGGGGGGGTGTTTAGACACTATTATAATAGTCCCCCCCAGGGAGGGGATTTAGAGACGCCGAAATTTATTTTTGGGTGTCAAAAGTAGTTCATTCTGCCCAAATGCCCCACAGCTTCGTGGGCATGTGCCACCACATGACCAC